AGACAACTTATTCGGCAAATCCTTTCAGCACCCTGAAACCAGGTACATCCTTACTTTTATCGTGATCTGCTATATAAACTAACAGTTTGTTTTAAATGGTTTTCTGACTTCTTGCAGTTTACCAAGCAAACATGTGGGTAGCTTACAAAAGGAAATGAGTCTGCCATCCTCCATTAAAATTCAAAAGAGTCGACACTTTCTGCATATTTGGCCCAAAAATCTTTCATCGGTATCCTGACTATTTGCCTTGATTAAGATCATTGTACTTTGAACAAAAGCAAAGAATATGACAGAGGTACAAGATGTTCCTTCATGTCTTCCGTAAACATATCCAAAGACCTGAAACTACGTGTTCCGTGATTTGCACATTGTGAAAATATGTTGGTCCAAGTGGCACAGATCACCAAAATTCTCAGCGCGTAGCTCTAAAACTGATTGTCGCAGCACACAAACACTGCGTCCATCGCCTCCCTTCTCGACGTTGAATTCGCGTCAAGAGGACTATCTGCAGTACGATTCTGATCAAGTGAATCTGAATATTAATCTAACTTGTGTAGGCTATGACTTGATCCAGATTTAAAAGAATCAACATCACCATCACAAGCAGCACGCCAACTGACGGTATTGAAGCCGGGCCGAAGTTGAATGATGGGTGCTTCATCGACTGTGTTTGGGTGGAGAAGAGGATTAGGGCCACCTTTTCGATGTGGAGTTTCAAAGTTTTGCCGATACTGAGCGGCAATGGTGGCTGGATAGGAGAATGTGCAGGAGGATAAGTAGGAGCCATCGGACTAGTTGAAGGATCAGATGGAGACATTGAACATGAATGAAGAGAGTTAGATTGTTGAAACACCTGGTGAGGATTTGAATGTTGTATTTTGGGGAACTCGATAGCTCTCGGTTGTTGCTGTTTGTATAACGGGTTTTGAGACCAAACCGAAGGTCGCTGAAAATGAGAATTAGGCTGAAAATAGATGGGAGATGGGCTTTGAAGAGTTGGAGGAGTGTGAGTAGTTGGAAGAGGTGGAGCATGAATAGATTCTGATTCAGATGGTGGTGTAAATGAAAAGATTCCTTCATCTTAATCATCTTTTCCATTCCATTCTTCTTGTTCTTCATAATATCGAGTTCTGATCTTGTACCTGAGCAATGATTGGTCTACAGGTACAAGGAGCCGATGTCATAGGTCCTGAAGCGGTTATAGGGCGGCGAGCAGATGTACCACCACCCTCATCTTGCTTGGCTTGATTCATGAGACGACTTGAAGAATGGTGAAAATTGATTGATTCAATTGTTTTGTGATTTGAAGAGTAAAATTGAATTCGAAATGTTGAATGTTGGATGTTGATTTTGATGTTATTGTTGATGCTGATTTGATTTGATAGAATGGATGGATGGTGATTCAATGAATGTATGGTCCAAAGTTGAAGAGATGAATGAGATCAACTCAGATGATACACAAAGTTCCGATCGTCGACGTTTGCGAGAGGTACGTAAAGAATCAGAATTCACCACACTTGATAGGACTAATTGTGATGCGAGTATCAGGAGCTCATCGCTGAAGGTCTCTTAATTCAAACCAAGTTGATCTAAGATAATAACAGCCGCCATGATTGCCTGATTTGTGGGTTATTGGTGTTTGTGGTTTGCCAGTGAGGCGACATGAAGTGCGAGAAAAGCCTTCAAGTAGGCAAACGCGTGGCGACGGCAGGTGTAGGTTGGCATTTGAAGATGGGGAGAGAGGGATTTGATGTGGGTGGTTGGTTCAACAAAAGTGAGTATTTGGGTCTGAAACCTGAACCCCTGACCCGGTAGACCCAGTTACGCTCGATTACCGCCAAAAATTCAACTGAGTTAACTGGGTCTTTTGGAACCAAGTCAACTTTCTGTTCTCATTGTATTCAATTCATGAACTTCCTTCGAACAAGACAAGTATGAATATCCTCAAAGGCCCATATAATGTAGTTGCATTCTAGTTCAAAAAAGAGATTTCAAAACTTCGAGATACAACAGATAAAGATGAAAAGAAAAAAAAGCCAATGAGCTAGGATAAAGGTGTACAACTACAAGAAAGGAAGTAAGATTTAGAACAGATGTAACACAAAACGAGTCTGAAGGTCTGAGGAATATCCCGAGGCAGTGAATCTATGGTTTGAGGAATATCCTGAGGCCCAATGGCTTCTGATCCATCACTCATGCATCTCTCAGTATTTACTGAGCGGCATACTCAGCAGTGAAACTAACTTGAAATAAGGTTGGAACAAAGTTGAAGCAAATCAAGACATTCTACCCTTCTCGACGTCGTGAAGGAAGGTGGTGGACGCAGTGGTAGTGTAGTGTGTTTGATTTGTTTTATTAGTGTAGTGTAATTACTTTCATTTTTGAGTGTTGTGTAGTGTTACTATTGTAAGAATAGTGTAGTGTTGTGTTTTCATTTTGTTAATGAAGTGCAGTGTGGTGTTGTGTAGTGTATTGATTTTGTTAATAAAGTGTAGTGTGATTCATTTAATTTATAAGGGTTGAATTTCAAATTTGACTCTCACACGCGCATTTCCTGGCCCTGTTTTGGCCCTGGTTGACACAAACAGGGCCAAAATGCCCAGTCTGGATGAAATTTCAATAATTACCCCTGATGCACCTGTGTCTACTGGACGCTTTGCATATTATCCGATGGAAAACGTGCATTTCCTATTGGCTACTGTCCGGAACCCCCCCTACCGACGCGCCGACGCCCCCGACGCGTCGGATCAAAGATATCAATCAACTCACCACAAACTTAGAATAATATTGCCACCCTCATAGATCCACTACTACTTACTAGCCACATGTATATGTACCACTACCCTGTGGAAAGTGCTAGGTGTACAGTGCAAAAACAATTCACACATACGTGAAGCTAAATCACCCATGTGTGATGTAAATTCACATGTGCGGAAGATAGATCTTTACTATTCAGACACGCTCAAACCGTACAGTTGGTTACAAATCACATTTTATGTATGATCGCCAATCACACCAAGATGATTACATATCACACAAGGTGAATACATTCACCCCTATGTGATACAGAATCAAACATGTGGGAATCAGATTCACGTGTGCCTCAACAATCTCTTCATGAGGTGAATGTATTCACCCATATGTGATTTATGATCACACAAGGTGAACACATTCACCCATTCGTGATCCAGAGTCACATAAGGTTATTACATTCACTCATTTGTGATCACACTACACGAAATATAATATTTTCTGGGCAGAAAATTAAATTATTGATACACAAAAATATTGACAGGCCAGGAGAAGGGCAAAAAATAAATAAAAATATGCATCTTGTTCCCTGCGGTGAGAGCTTCACTCTCCATATTTTCCATATTTTACAGTCCGTATTG